AGGGCTTCGTGAGCGGGCGTCCGGGGAAACAGGCAGTGATTTTTTTTTTACATTGTTTCTTTCTTTTTTTAATCTCTCTCTCTCTCTCTCTCTCTCTCTCTCTCTCTCTCTCTCTCTCTCTCTCTCTCTCTCTCTCTCTCTCTCTCTCTCTCTCTCTCTCTCTCTCTCTCTCTCTCTGACCCTTTTTTCTCGCTTTTCTTTATTTTTTACTTTGTGTTTTAGGGCTGTGTATTGATAGGTTTGCAAAAAAAAGTACATGCGAAGTCGTATGTCCTTTTTTTTGTCATCGCTTTTTTCGTGATCCTTTGTTTTTGCTATTTGTTGTTGTTGTTTTTAGTTTTCATTCATACTTTTTTTTTCTTTTCCTCTTTTTTTGAGGGAGAAGAGGACCCAACGACGAGAATGGATAAAGTTTGCTTCTGTTCTCGAATTGGCGTCGCTGTCATTATCGCTGTCATTATTATATGACAGGTGAATCCAGGGTCTCTGTAAAATCCTTTGGAGAAGCTTTTCGTTGTCTTCAAGAGGTCTTTGGAGGGTCCTTGGAGCATCCTTACACCGTCCAAGCAAAGTCCCTGTAAAGTCCTTAGAAATGTGTTGCCAGAAATCCTTGGAAAGTCCCTAGAGCGCCCTCGCCAAGTCCTTATAGCGTCCTCTGCAAATCTCGGTAGAAGTTTCCGGAAAGTCCTCACAAAGACCACGGAGCGCCCTTACGGAGTCCGAGGAAAGTTCCTACAGCGTCCTTGCAAAGTCTGAGCTCAGTTCCCCGGCCTTTCGAGGAGTGCGTCGGCGCGGACCTTTCCCGACGCGGAGGGAGAGCCACCTGGCGTCCGGGCGAGAAACCTCAGCGCTGTCGGCCCTTGCGGAGGTTACGACAGGGAAAAGAGGATGGGGGCAAGAGGGGGAAGGGGGGGGGGCAAGAGCTGCAGGTGAAAGGGGAAGGGAAAGGGAGGGAGAGAGGAATAGGGAGAGGTAGAAAGGGGGAAGAAGGGGAGGGAGAGGTGTCAAGAGGCGAAGGGGAGGGCAGGGGAAGAGGAAGGGAAGGGAGAGAGGATGAGGGAGACGTGGAACGGGGGAAGAAGGGGGGGGGAGATACTTCGGACCTGTTGAATCACACACCGCATCGACGGGTGACGTCATGCGAAGTCTCATCCTCCGCTCTGACCTGCACACGCCCATCCCCCGGGGAGGATGTCACGAGGCCATGCGCCCTGTGGCTCCGTGGCCGGCGGGGTTCGTGGCCCGGTTGTCCCCTCTTCACAGGGGAGCTGAGGGCGCCGGGTGATCTGGCGAGCGCGTGGAAGCGAGACGCCGGACTTGGGTGTCACTGGCCGCGCGAGGCGCTCGCTCGCCGGGGCTGGCTTCGATGCTTTTTATTTCTGTTTGCTTGTACTTGATTTTTTATTTTTTTCTCTCTCTTTTTCTTTTC